GTCCCTCCCCCCGAGCCGGAACATCGAAATATCATCCTAACAAGTTGTCACCCCGTCTCCAACCGTTCGATAACCGCATCCAGTGAAATGTTTGTGTGTGTTGTGTTGTTGTGTGCTGTACTGCGTTGTGTTGCGTTGCGTGTTGCTGTGTTGTGTTGTGGTTTGTCGTGTTTGTGTGTGTTGTGGTGTGTTGTGGTGTGTTGTGTTGTGTTGCGTTGTGTTGTTTGGTTGTGTGATGTGTTGTGCTGTGTTGTGTTGTACTGTGTTGTGCGTTGTTGCGTTTTTGTTTTGTCTTGTTGTGTGGGTGTGTTTGTGGGGTGTGTAGTGTGTGGCGTGTGTATGGTGTGTGTGCGTGTGTGCGTGTGCGTGTGCGTGTGCCGTGCCTGTGCGTGTGCGTGTGCGTATGCGTGTGTTTGCGTTGTGCTATGCTGTGCGGTGCGTTGCCGTTTGCTGCGTTGTGCTGTGTTGTATTGTGTTGTGTCGAGTCGAGTTGTGTTGTCTTGTGGTATGTGTGGTGTGCGTGTCTGTGGTGTGTGTGTGGTGTATGTGCGCGCGTGCGTGTGCGAGTGCCTATGCGTGTGCGTGTGCGTGAGCGTGAGCGTGTGCGTGCGTGTGTGTGTGTATGTTGATCGTTGCCAAGGGAGGCCAGCGGGTGCTTCCCTCACGAAGGACGAACATATCCCCACACCCACACCCCCGAGGTCTACACGTCGAGGCGCGACCCCGAGGACGCACGATTGGACACGCTCCGCGCGGGTGCACCCGCGAAAAGCCGCCCTGCAAACCATCAACCTAGTAGGGGATCGACTACAGAATCGATGTGATAAAAATTGACTTGTGCGTCGAAATACGAAACATGCGTACAACGTTGGAAGATCTACGAACACGATGCGTATTGTACATTCTGATGGGCCGATTCGTCACCACCACCACCACCACCACGATAGGCAGGGCGGGGGAGAAGGGAGGATGGGGAGGTCATGATCCACCTTCTCCTCCTCCCTCTCCTACCTGTGTTAGTGGTGGTGGAAAATCGGCTCATCGCATGAGACGAGAAAATCAAGTATGGGATAAACCATTTCTACAGTCGATTCTCCTACTCGAATCCATGGGGCAACGACCGAGGAGTCCAAACCGCGAGGCTATGCATACGGAGGTGTGCCTCCCGCCAACGAGGTGCCCCCCGTCGACGGTAGGTGCGCGGCAACGTCGAGGCGGAGGGGGGGGCGGCTCCAGATGGAAACAAAATTCGGCCTGGCATCGGCGATACAGTAGGGGCCCGACCAAAAGAAACCTTCCACAAGAAACCCAACCCTGAGACCCCAGGACGTCGATTGATTTTTGGTGTGGGAACGTCACGCTGTCCATAGCGAAACCATTGCAAACCAAGAAACCCAGGGCACCCTGGAGGCGAGCAGGGTGTTTCTTGGCGTGGGCCCCCATTGTACATCACCGAGAAAGGCCCCCCGATTGCGAAATTGCACGCTGCTGTGCTGTGTGGGCCACCAGTCGGACCTGGGCCCGAAGAGCATCCTTCAAGAACAGGAGACCCTCCGCTGGCCAAAACACGAAGGACATGCAAGGGAACCCTCCGCAGGATGCTCAAGAACATCCAACAAACACGCCATTGCAGGGCCGATGTATCGGCGACGCATCGGCGACGCATCGACGACGTCGGCGACGCGTCGGCGACGTCGGCGTGGGGAAGCACGAGCTCCGCATCGAGCCGCATCGTCGATGCATCGACGAGCGGCGCGATCCTCCGACCCCATCTACTCGGGCCCCATCAAGGAGGCCTAGACAAACACGGAGAACACCAGCGTACCTTCCCCGAACCGACTTCGCTCGCTATACCTCGGGCCGGCTGCCAGGCCCACCTCGACTGCGAAACTGCACGCTCCTGTGAAGGGTGGACCCTCACGCCCCTATCGCCGATACATGGGCGACCAGGGACCGGTGCATCGGCCCCTGAGCCCATCCGCCCCTGACATTAGGCCGGGCATGTCCTCCTGCCGGCGGATTCTGCAAGGAAAACTAAAGCAGAGTCTAATAGACATAATCAAAAATACCCCCCCCCCAAAGAAAAAGCCAAGCAAACAAACAAAATCTGCCAAACAAAATCTGTACGAAATTCGCTTCGAAATCCAGGGCGACATTCTCCAGGACAACCCGGCCCATCCCAATGTTTTTCGAGCGAAATCCGCTCTGCGATGTTGGCTCGGGCCGGGCGAAAGGGGGGGATAGCAAAGGGGGGGTTGAGAATCAGCCCACGTATCTGATTTTCCCGGCGCCTTCCAGGGCCGGAGGCGACTATGTATCGAGGAATGGGCCTCTCGGTGGGGCCGAAACCAGCTGCATGCAGCAGATTTCGTAGACCTCCCTTTCCCAATCCCCTCCCTTCGTCCGGCCCGATTGGCGCCATGCCAGCGGTCCTGGCGGGCTCCAATATGCACCACAGCGGCACCGAGACGGACCCGGCCTTCCGCGAGCCCGTGACGGCCTCGGCGGCAGCCGCGTCCGCCGCGCGCCGGGCTCGCCGCGCCGCCCTCGCCCCTCGACGCCCCGACGCGTTGGGGATGAGGCGGCCACTCGCGACCGCCAGCACTCGCGCAGAAGGCACCCGTCCCCAGGAGGAGGAGGAGGAGGAGGAGGAGGATGGGATGGGATGGACAGCGCCTTGAAAGGTCGGGAGGTGACAGCACCAAAAGCTTGAGGGGGGATCGACCCGAGTTAAACCGCCCTGGAGGCTCTTGCCTCCTCTTTAGCTTTAATTCTGGCGACCAGGGACGCCATTCGCTGCTCATAAGTGGGGGCCGAGGGAGAGTCCGCAAACGCTCGCGGGACTGAGGTAACACATATCTCGGGCTTATCATCCGACTCACGCGCAACATCTAGCCTTGACACAGGCAACGCCTTATCAATCAAGGCCTTTATCTTCATGTTGGGGCCAAGCCCGCGGCGAAAACGGCTCAGGACGTCCAGTCCTTTACGCGTCGGCTTACCACAGACCTCAGCGAGCTTTAGGGCTCTACCCTGGGACCAACCCCCACATTTCAAACACAGAATCTGCTGCTCACGGCAGAGGCCCAGCACCAGGTCCGACCGAGGAGCTTCAAGAGCCGCGCCCGACACGGCGACGAGTCGGTGCCCAAGGGGATCGCGCAGCAGCTTCTGGAGAGCAGGAGGCGGTCCCCTGCACCCAAGCATGGGCCGATCGGGTCGATCACACACCATCCAGCAATAACGACACTGCATACCCAGATCGGTACTCCTCCAGAGGTGCCAGGTCTTCTTCTGACGACTGCGACCTTGGGTCGTGAAAGCCGCTCGCTTCCAACGCACCTCATTCTTAAAGAGGGGTAAAACTTCGGAAGCAAGCTTGATAAACGCATTGGCTCGATTTTGATACAACTCAACCTGGTCCAAAAAGGTGGGCAGGGGCCGAGGATGGCCCTCAATGGCCTTCTTGGCATGCTCATCCACAACACGATTCGCGAAACCAAACCTACGATCATCACCTTCCAAGTCCTCAAGGGCAGAGAGCTCTCGATGGGCCTTTACATGGAAGGTGGACAGAAATTCAGTACCTGCTAGCTCATGGGCAAACCGCCTCACACCAGCAAATTTATTGGAACCACTCAGCTGTTTCCAGAGGGGCCTCTGCGTTTGACAGATCACAGCTTTACAATCGAGGGCCAACGCCGTGGGGCGATCTGAAACTTGCCCGACCAGGGCCGCCCCCGCATGCTCAGCCATCGCAGGGGTCTGGGGAAGCCCTCCAGGAACAATACCCCTCAAGATGGCAAGAAGAGATTCGCTGCCTGGCTTCATGAGGGCGATCGCCCAACCAGCACGATGGAGACAGCGGAGGGCCTGCTTCGTGCAGCTGCCGTCGGAGGCCATCTCGAGCTCGAACGCATCTCCTGCAAGCGTTGGGAGCTCCTCAGGCTGCATATTCAAATCCTGACCTGCGCCGTCGAGGATGTCACAATGAGTATGGGTGGCTGGAGGGGGCACATCTTCATCCGAGAACGTGAACAAACCACGAGTAAACACGGGATCATCACTATGTGCCCCCTCATTCAAAATTTCTGACGGAATGCCTAGAGACTGTCGGGCCTCCACCACCTCAGGACGCGAACAAGTGTACAACCTATGGTGCAACGTGTCACGTTGGCCGCAAACACACATGCCGTCCGTGAGGTAACCAGCATCACACGCACGCGCCTCGGTCCAAATCGCATCCGTGGCGCACGACAGGAGCAGGAACTGTTGCTGACGCGTGTGCTGCTTACTACGCGTACACATGCAATTGCGCACAAGGTCGAAAGTGGTACGCATGCCGCTCGCGTGCCCTAACCTGCGTGCAAAACGAAGCTCCGCTTCTCGCTGCAATCCTTCTCGGAGGAGATCGAGGAGGAGGCGAGGGGGAGTCTTACTGACATCTACTGTGCAACCCCAATGGTCGATCCACTGGGTGCCTGATACTACTTTCCATCCTGCACGACGAGCCGACAATGTGGCACGCGCAAGTGGACCACGGCTGGACTTCCAATCGCTAGCCTCGCTGGCCCTGGCCTGCTCCCAAAGTTGGAGCAACTCCTGGAAAGGAATCAGGGATCGCTTGGGACTGACCTGGGCATTCCACAACATGCGACACCACTGGAGAGCAGGACCGACTGCAGCTCGTGTGTCCCACTCTCCGTACAAAACGAGTTTTGCCGTGGCACTGGTCCCTCCATGAGAGGGCGGCAACCGACGAGCCTGGGTCCTTCGCACAGTGTTAAGCTCAGCTTCCGAGAAACCCAAAACCTCAGAACCGTACGACGAAGCAGGAGCAACACCCGTGCGAATGACCTGTGAGAGACCTTTCTTGGCCTCTTTATTCGGAGCTCGGGACTTAAACCTGCCGATCTTTTTCACTCGCAGCTTCATTCCCCAAAGGCGGGAACGCTGTTTTACACGCGCACGAGCAGCAGAGCGCTTGGCACCAGCACTGTCATCTACGCCAAGATATGTGACCGATTGCTTCGCAACTTTGGGCTCAAGCCCTAAGCCACACACAACGTCACGTGCAAGTGAAATATCGCTGGCAACAACAGCAACTTTATCATTAACTGCTGCATTTATCTGCTTGCTCGCGTGATAAAAGGCACGACCTGCATCGACTGCTAATTGCACCGCACTCTGTCTCTGGCCACAGGAAATCTGAATGCCAGAGTCATCGATATACGATGTGAACTTGACTAGTGTCGGCTGGCTAGCAACAAACTGATCGAAAGACTTCACAGCATGCACCTTGATGCTGATATCATTGAAGCAATCGCCTGCAGGTAACCCGAATTCAGCATGTGCGACCCCTTCGGAGTGGTGCTGTCTGAGACGTAGCACTCGAGGAGCCCTCCATACATTGAACACGAGCTTCAAAAATGCAGTGGGTACTTTAAACTCAAGAAACTTATCCCGAAGTTCCACGAGGGGGATCGTTTCATAGTATTTTGAATAGTCGGCGATAATGAGCACACTATGGCGGCGCGAGACTACGTCAGCCTCGGCTCGTGCTGCCTGTGCCCAGGCACAGTCCACAGAACTCCTCCCCCGACTAGCCCCCCAGTACCCACGCTCCACCTCCTCCATAAGAGATCTTAGCATAGGCCGCCGCAGCCTTTGCCAGATGCGATACATGCCACTGTAAAGCACTATGAGCCTATGCCCAGACGACGGCTTCGGCAGCATTGGCATGAGCACCCACAGCAACTGCTTAGGTAAGAGGCCGATCGCCTCGCAACACTGCCACAAACCTGCTAGCAAATCTAATCCGTCGTCGTCGAGCAACAAGAAATGCCTCGGATGAAATTGATCCAAGGACCTCGCAGTGGGTTCCGAAAAACTCTGGATCACCTTACGAACCTCGCTCGGAGCCGCCCTAGGGAAGCTGGACCGATCGGGAATCCAGGCAACCGGTGGGGAGGCGGTTGATCGCCAGAGCTTGCGATAAATCTGCAGCTCATGCTGTACGACACTGTGGGGGTCAGCGCTGGGGCCTTTAGGGTCATGCACAACCGTAGGCAAAACAACACTCCGAACCTTCGTGACCCTATGTAGGCCCCGCGCTCCCCCCATGCTGGCAGTCTTACACCAATCGCCCCAGCTGGTCTGGATCTCTTTTGATGCACCTTTGACAGCCACAGAGAGGTCCTCAGCAATGTCCTCAAGAAATTCCTCCACATTCTCACGAAAGAACTCAGAACACAGCATCTTGCGGGCCTTCTGAACCGAATTATCTAAACGAGAGCTTAAACCGAGCCCTGGGTAGTCACTATCACGAAAAACCGCCAGCTCGGCAAGCATCGTTTGCTGTGTATTCTCATTCATGTCGTCTAAAACAGCTAACTGGCCTAGGTGCTGGACTGCGTTGCGTAGCCACTGCCACCCATCAGCTATTAAACATTTCTGTGTCGTCTGGCACGGGATATTCCACATTGACCCAGCGCGGTGCAACTTGGCGCCCGAAACTGCCAAAAGTATCTTTCGCGCCCCCAGTGCAATTACTAATATACCGTGCAGCGATCTGGGCAAACTTGCCCCAACTGGTGCTAAGCAAGTTGTGCACTACCCCAGGATCGGTCTTCTCATCCCCCGCCATCTCGACGCAGCGCTCCACCAAACCCCTCGCAGGACCCCAATCTGGCGGCGAGGGTTGAGGACCGAAAGGGGGGGAAATAGGAAGAGCGGGGGCAACAGTATACACTAGATGCTGCACTCGATAACCCTGACTGGCTATAGCGAGCTGCACGGGTCTATGGGGCCTGATCGCCCATCGCGTGTCTAGCTTAACATGTTTATACGCACGCATGCACGGATCATTCAAACCGAAAAAATCAATAATCGAGCTACCCGTACCACCTCGACAGGTGTATAGCTTAGTAGAGACGAGGGTGAGACGAGCAAAACTGCAGAAACCTGAAGCCTCGACCTCGTCAGGGGACATATTCCAATCACCCCCAACTATACAGGGACCGTCAATGCTCTCAACTACTGCACCTGCTGCTGCCATCAACTTGGCGTTCTTGCCCTGAGGGCCTAAGCTGGGATACAGGTACATATTTATCAGATGTAGGGTAGGCCACCCTGGAAGATCAAGTTGCACGTGCTGCACGCGATGCTCGCACACCTGATGCACACCGAGCTGTGGCGCACGCACACCGCACTCACTGCGCACGAAAACAGCCACCCCTGCACTGGGCACGTTGCCTGCTGAGGGACAGGATGGCAACGCCATAAGACTCCAACCTCGCACTTGCGCCCAACTCTGAATGGCTTCAACCTGATCGGCCACATGACCAAACTCTTGCACAATCACGACTAATGCACGAGTGACTTTGAGCCGCTTCTTGAGCGTACTCTTGCCTCCACTACAATTGAACGTTTCAATGACATGCTCACCAGCGATCTGCCCTGCTTCGGGATGCGAGGGCGGAAAAGCAGCTGGTCTGAAAC